CTTTCCTACCCTTTCAGTGACTACCCTTTTCACTCTGCAAAAGACCACACAGCAAATGAAATTCAAACCCAGCACCCCAGCCCCTTGAATATTTACATAGGCATCCAACACACACACACACACACACACACACAATATATATATATATATACATATGCGTGTGTGTGTGTGTATTCTTTTTACTGAACTAGCCTCTCATGCAATGACTCTGTAACTGTTGAATTTGCCATTAGTCTGCTTCCAAATACCCCCACCAAACATTTATCCAGTTGATATCTGGCCCGGAGATGGGAAATTAAAACCTCCTCTAAACTGCCACTTCCATTGTATCTGGGGCGCCCCCTTATGGCAAATGGTAATTGTTCCCATGATCCCACAATACGCAGCACCTACCTAATGGATGTCTCTAAGCCCTCACTACATGCCCAGTAAAAACAACTGTCTTTCTCCAGTCCCATTCTTTAGAAGTTCCCAGTCACCTAAGGCAAGGCACAATTTTCAGTCTAAAGGTAATGCCACCAGACTATACTCTGTGGACCAACAAGCAAGGCTGCTCCTCTCCTCTACTTTGCTCTCCCACTGGCCTCAAGCCACAAAACACATTCATTCAGTCCAGCATCTCCTGGCTTCCCTTTTATGTAAAAGTTAATCATTCTTCCCCCACCCCAGCCAAATGCCATTGACATGCCCCTGTCATCTCTATAATATAGAGACTTGCCACCACTATGAGACTTGCTAGAATAACTGCAGGGACCATCACTCCAACACAACAAATCCAAAATCACTGACACTAACCTATGAATGTCCAAAATTCTAGTATCTCACTTTTCTAAAGCACAACAAATATTAGGCTTGCTTAATGAATGTCATAGAAACCTACCAAACATGGTTATTGATAATAGATTGAGTCTTAATTATTTATTAGGTAACAGAGGAAGTGTTTGCAGAATTATTAATACTTCTCTTTGTTCATAGGAGTTCTGGTGGCATAGTGCCTAAGGCAGAAGGCTGGCAGTTCAAACCCACCAGCCACTCCTCAGGAAGAAGATTGGGCAATCTACTTCTGTAGTGATAACACCTCCAAAACCCGAGAAGGGGTCGCTATGAGTTGGATCTGACTCAACGGCAGTGAGTTTGGTTTTTGGTTTGGTTTTTGTTTATGGACTAATAACATCAGCCAAGTAGCCACTCTAATAAAAATCTTGAACCACAAAATCATCATCACAAAAACCAGAATCTACAGTTCCTCACCCTTCACAATTCAACTACAATATTGCCAGAGGATCCTGTCACAACTGATTTATTCTCCTGGTTAACACCAAACAAATGAGAAACCTGCCTATGGACCAGCCTCCAGGGGCTTGTCATGCTTTTACTTGGGAGGAACCCAAGTCATACTGTCATAATCTAATGTTTTCTGCACTGTTTAGAGATACTATGCCATTCTCCTCTAATATGTCAAATACCCCAAATAATTGAGCTCAAAACTGATGTTAAGAAATCAAGGAGACAATTGTAAGATAGTTTGTGTTTTGTTTTTAATGCTGGCTTGACCCAACTTTCAGGCTCTGGCTATAGGCCAGTCATTTCTTCTTCTATGGCAGCTGACTAAGTCTACACATCAACTACTTCCCTTTGAGTTCTCACATTCTGGGACAAATATGCACCCACTCTAATCACTCTGGGGCCAAATATCAAATAACTTGGAACAGCTTTTATGCCCTAGAACCCATAAAATTGTTCAAATCAGCCAATTCACTGGAAACCTATGTAATCTAGCTAACCCCACTTTGCTTGCCATACTTAAACTGCCTCCTCCATCTCCAGTTTACTGATCCTATCTCCTGGTGTAACTGTGTTAGACTGGGTTCTCTAGAGAAACACAAAAACCAGCAAAGTGTATATATATATTTAGAGAGAGAGAGAGAGAGAAATTTATCTTAGGAAAACTCCCTTACAAGCGTATAGAAGCCAACAAGTCCAAGTCTCTGGAGGAGATGGGCTGGCGGCCACTTTAGCTTTCGTAAGTGCAGGGGGCCAAGAGATTCAAGGCTGGCAGGCAGTACACTGGTTGTTGACTTCAACAAAAGATGAATCCAAGATCTCCAGGCCGAGCGGTGGGCTGCTCACTCACGGAAGTCTGTAGTCTGCTCACCAGGGTTCCAATCCCTCCAGGAAAGTGGCTGTTCCCAGGATGTCCCTGGATATCTTAGAAGCAGGCCACACCCCTAGGGAAACTCCCCTTGGGCAGACTGGCCACTCAGAACACAGTCATCTGATCCCATCATGGGAACAACCACACAGAACTGGGGTCCAGCCAAGTTGACACACAGCTCCAACTATCACAGTAACCATCTGTCTAGTCCTGCCTGGTGGCCTTCTTTCATTTGGAACTGTAAGTAACAAAAATGTCTGCTTTTCATCTATCCAAATGTCTTGGTGTTGTGTTCTACCATCAAAGAACTGTAGTCATACCTAATATCATATAATTATAAAACAAGATGTCAAGGCCTAAACCCTAAGTGCTCATTAAATTTTACTTCTTTTCTGTATATACTTTTCTGCTTGTCTGAGTACACAAATGCACCCTGGGTAAATAATAAAGCAAAGGGTCATATGGTTAAGGTTCAAAGCAATTTTGTAACTCAAACTTTAAGAGAATTACCATCAGATATGAGTGTTAAAATGAATGTTAAAATGTTAAAAAACATTCATGGGCTGAATCATCGTATAATCATATAATGAAAAAGGGATAGTTTTTTGTTTTTTGCTTTTTTTTCCTCAAATATATGGGTTAATGTAGTAATTAAAGTGGTTTCTGACAAGGAATTTAATCTTACAAGACAAATTACCTAGCCAAGAGTAGCCTGCGACTATTGCTCCATGAGCTTCTGGTGAACCCTGAAACCATAAGTCTGGATGAAATAACCCCTACTGTTGGTCATCTTGAGTCAGACAAGTCCAGATCAACTAAGCAGATATTCTAGAAAATAGAATCAGGAGGAGGCCAATGGGTATCTGTTACAGTTAGCTGACTGACTGAGGACAGCTCTGGAGTTAGACTTAGTTTTAAGCCCTAGACTTATGGTGTATAAACGACCACTTACAAGTTCTGTAACTCTGAGGAGGTGTCTTCCTCTGTAAGCCTTAATTTCTGTAAGCTTTAATTTCTTCATATGTAAAACACAGACTTTAATGCTGAAACAAAAAGTAAATTTCCATAGTAATGCTTTTGTAAGAATAAATGAAATAATATGTGAAAAGTTATATAGACACAGATATAGATATAGATATAGATATTTGTTGTTGTTATGTGCCGTCAAGTCAGACTCAACTCATAGCAACCCTTCCTTGGGTTTCTGAGGCAGTATCACTACAGAAGTAGATTGCCCAATCTTCCTTCCGAGGAGAGGCTGGTGGGTTTGAACCGCCAGCCTTCTGGTTAGCAGTCAAGTGCCTTAAGCATTATGCTATATTGGTCCCTTAATAAATGTGATCTTAAAAAAAATAAAGTTCTCTTTTAAAAGATATCTCCTTCTGCCCACAAAATCCATAGAATGGGAGCTTAGGTCTCTTTCTACTCCATGAATGTTCATGAGAAATAGTTTAGTCTGTATATGAGGCTGTAGGCTATCCCTAACCACAAAGAAACAAACAACATGTCTCTAGTCAGCCATGCTAAAAATTTCTTCTGATCCCCCTCTTCCTTCAGGAAGCCAGGTACAATGCAAATGGAGGTCTGTCTACCCTGGTACAAAATGCACTAGTACGGAAGCTTGTTCATCTGTTTGTATTTCCTTTGAGCACATTTTGAGCCCTAAGAATGTAGACACATACTAACCATTTTTCTTTGACTTCTGAAAATCCCTGTAGACCTTCTCATCACTCAACAAGTGGCAATTCTCACTTTGGTCCAGGGTTAAATTTGACTTAAGAAAATCGTGGGCATAGAAGGGGATTAGAGGATCATCCGTCTCATAACTCACCCAGTGTGACATTTGGTGGAGGTATAATTAACAAAACAAATGGACTTGGAGGCTGAAGGCTTGGTTTCTTGGCTTCTTGGTTTTTTGATAGCTGTAGTGAGGTCCTTCAACATCTCTCAACTACAAAATGATAATTCTTACTTTACAGATTTTGTTGTTGTTGTTTATGTGTGCAGTGGTAAAAGAAAATGAAATGAAAGTGCTTTATACATTGTTTTGTTGTTGTTGATAAGTACCATCAAATTGATTTTAGACTCATAACGACCCTGTGTTACAGAATAGAACTGCTCACAGGGTGTTCTAGGCTTTAATCTTTACAGGGGCAGTCAGGTCTTTCTCCTTCAGAGCCACTGAATGGTTCAAACTGCCAAGGTTTCAGTTAGCAGGTGAATGCTTAACTGTTGCACCAACAGGCCTATTCAATGTGTAAAATAAACGTTGAACCTTAATTTCAATATTAACTAAATATTAATTAATTTCAGTATGAATTCCATTGTTGCTCCAATATAAAGGATTTTATTCTCATCCTGAGTGTGTTTATGAAATGCATCATTCTTAATCATATATATTACAAACTATTAGTAATTTCTTTACCTGATATTAAATTAGTACCATGAGACTGGTTCAGATCAGCCAACAAACATGCAAAGTTTTCTCCATGTTCACTGTTGCTAATATTGCTTATGTATCCTGCAAAGGCAGAATTGGAAATATCAAGTGCACAAACTCACATGTAGTTTAGAAAACCCAAAGAATGCTGTGTGATAGTATTCAGTCATATCTTCAAATAGCATGAGAGAAGTAGTGCTTGGTTTTATAAAAACTAAGATTTTTTATTTCTCTCTAGCAATAAAAAAGAATAAAACAATTGAAACTGACATGACCCTTGTAAACTTTTTTTTTACAACATCTCTTCTTATATATATATTTCCTTATACGCAGAAATGATGAACTTGTAACATATTAAAGGATGGGGAAGTTTCTATAAAAACCTCCATGTGGTGGTGTAAAGTGTCTACTGCATGTACAGTCACAGTCAGTAATTCCAGGTATTATCTTTGTTTCAGAAAAAGAACACTAAGTAGAAGATCATGGCAAGTTCTGACTGGGGATATGATGGCGAAAATGGTATGAGTTTTTCTCCTCATATAGATCGGAAATAATAGCTTATTGTTTTTTAAACAGGAGAGGTGTTGAGAATTTAAAGTAACTGTATAGCCATAGGTAAGGATCTCTGGTCGTGCAATGGTTAAGCATTTGGCAGCTAACCAGAGGGTTGGTGGTTCAAACCCACCAGCTGCTGCATGAGAGAAAGATGAGGCAGTCTACATCTGTAAAGATTTACAGCCTTGGAAACTCTATGGGACAGTTCTACTCTGTCCTATAGGGTCACTGTGGATCAGAATTGACCCGATCACAGTGGTCTTTATCACCATAAGTTAATAGTTTGAATTGCCTGTTTTGAATAATTATAATATCTTTGCCTGTATTCTAAGCAATTGTTCTTTGATACAGTTGTCTCCGAAATGCATTTTGCAAAATCAAAAACCCTTTTTATGCTTCAGATAAATAAACCAAACCAAACTCACTGCCACCGAGTTGATTCGATTCATAGTGACCCCTCCTTGGGTTTCCAAGGTGGTATTTCCAACGAAGTAGAGTGCCCAAACTTCCTTCTGAGGAGTGGCTGGTGGGTTAGAACCACCAGCCTTCTGGTTAGCAATCCAATGCCTTAGGCACTACAGCATAAGATAAATAGGTAGATAGATTTTACTATTAGAAATCTATTGCTAATAGTAAAATATTTATAGTCTTATAGACTATGAATATGAGCCTATATTACTGCTGTTATCAAAGATACTGCTTTATAGTATAGAATAGAAAGCTAAACAGAATGTCATTTGAGATAAGTGAATAAACCCTAATCTAGCAAACAGGCTATATGCCTAAAACTTGCCATCAAGCATTGATAAATTTTTAGTAACAATCTCACTCATACATTTTTCCTGGTAGGTCCTGAGCAATGGGCCAAGCTGTACCCCATTGCCAATGGAAATAACCAGTCTCCTATCGACATTAAAACCAGTGAAACCAAACATGACCCTGCTCTAAAACCTATCAGTGTCTCCTACAATCCAGCCACAGCCAAAGAAATAATCAACGTGGGACATTCATTCCATGTGAATTTTGAGGATAATGACAACCAATCAGGTGAGCCAAAGAGCTATATGATTACTTTTGTCCTAGAGTTTTTTTTTTTTTTTTTTTAAACACATTTAACACAAATACCCATTATAAGTGCAGTATGTGTGTGTGGCATTGCTGTAATCTGGTAGGGTACCTTGGACTTCAGGTAAAGATGATTTTTAGAACTTCCACCTCAGCCTATTGTTACACCTTCTCAATGGCACCATCCATCTGTTCTTTATGCTCACATCATACTATTCCATGCTTGCTCATTTATTTGGAATAAACAGTACTTTTCCAAAAAGTCAAATAAGCCAATTATAATGAACATAAAAGCTACGAAGGCAAATATTTCCTAATAAGGATGAACACAGAAGGAAAGGGAGCTGAGCTAAAGAATATAATTATTTTTGTGAAATGCTCAAGTATCAGGAAGCAAATGAGCCTTGCGTAAAGGTTACATGGGATAGTTCTGTGCATGTCTACTTGTCTACCTTCTCCTCTCCTTAGTAGTTTATAATGATTCAGTCATCTTAATGCCCCAGGAACTAGCACATTCCCTGCTACATTGTAAGCTTTCCATAGATGTTTACTGAATAATTTATTAAATAACCATTTTTTTAAGACAACTGTAATCATGCAAAAGGCCAAATTGTTTTAGCACTTTCCTACAAGGTTTAGAGTCTAAATTTCAAGTATTTGGGGGCTATACCTGTTATTAAAATTAAATTAGGTCTAGTATCATGTGTGCTAATTATATTATTGGATATACTCTTCAAAACAAGCCTTGAATGGAGAGTAGCTGAAGCAAATGGAAGAAATGACAAGATAAAAAAGCTGAACAGATTTCAAATTGTAGCTGGAGAAAACAAAATCAATTATAATAATGAAATGTGCAAAGACCTGGAGTAGAATAACCAAAAGGGAAGAACATGCTCAGATTTCTCAAAGTGAAAGAACTGAAGAAATAATTCAAGCCTCTACTTGCAATATTGAAAGATTCTACAGGCAAAAAATGTATAGCTGGAATGCCCCTTAGAAGTGAGAATCGCTTGACTTCATCTCTCGTACTTTAGTCATGTCATCAGAAGGGATCAGTCCCTGGAGAAGGAGTTCATGCTTGGTAAAGTAGAGGGTCAGTGAAAAAGGGGAAGACCCTCACTGAGATGGATTGACACAGTGGCTGCAATAATCACCTATCTACGTATCTTGTCTTTTATAAAGGTGAAATCGTACAATATTTATCCTTATATGATTGATTTATCTCACTCAGCATTATGTCCTCTTGATTCATCCATGTTATGCTTTGAGGACTCATCATTGTTCTTTATGGTGCATAATTTGATTTTAAAATGTTTAAAGTGATCCCATACACACTTTCTCTTAGTCCTTGGCTAGGAATTCTGGACCACACGGTCAAGACACACTGCTGTCTATTGATCAGTTATATAGTACCTGATGAGTAATTTGTTATTTAAGATAAACTACCTCAGCTTATGATGGACACTACTTATTCAGTCTTTGTTCAAGAACGCATGAATAAACTTGCAAATTAAAGCAGATTCAAGGAAAGTCCTATAATAATATAATTCACTCACCTTCCAATATGCTTTCATGAAGGTAGAAATAAGTCAAATAACAGCTCTTGTGCCAGGAGTGTGTATAATTTAGGGACTATTTTATCTACACTATAGTCAAGGGTATACCATAAATATGAAAGCTATTATCATGGACGTGGGAGCTCTGGTAGCGTAGTGGCTAAGGCACTTGACTGCTAACCAGAAGGCTGGCGGTTCAAATCCACCAGCCACTCCTCGGAAGGAAGATGGGACAATCTACTTCCATAGTGATACTGCCTCGGAAACCCAAGGAGGGGTCTCTATGAGTCGGGTCTGACTTGACGGCAAACAACAACAACATCATGGACATAGAAGAAGGAAAGATGAAAACTTTGGTACTAGTATTTGCTTTCATTTCTATTAAACACAATTTCATTAAAGATTCTGGTTTATGTTAAATATAAAGATAAACTGGACCTTGTGTTCATAAGGCTAATAGTATTCCCCTTTTTTTTCCAGTGCTAAAAGGTGGGCCACTCTCTGAAAACTATAGGCTCTGCCAGTTCCATTTTCATTGGGGCAGTGCAAATGATCATGGCTCTGAGCACACAGTGGACGGAGTAAAATTTTCTGGAGAGGTAATGTAACTTAGAAAGTGAGAGATAATAATACTGTGAGTACTCGCAGAAGCAGCTCCCCTTACCATGTAAGACCCTGTCAAAATGACTCCAAAGCACGTGCATTCTTTGTCCTTGTATGGAACTCTAGCTCCATTAATAGCAAACCCAGGTAATAGCAAAACCATGTTTGCCAGTGGAGGGAAAATCTCCATGTGGAAAGAGGTGGTTCAACCTTGGAGCTGAAAATTTGTGCCCAAGAATCACATTTCCCTTGAGGATGCCTCAAAAGTTGTCACTTTGACATCAGACTAGCCTCCAGAGGTGCTGCTTTCATTGACTTTCATGACTAACGATGGAACCCACCACATTCCCTTCTTACTTAAGTGTTCAAGCCTTAAACGCTTATAGTATAGACATGCCCAAGCTGGAACACCTCAATAAGTCTCTACTAAGATCTCGAGTAGAATTGACTGGACAGCAACGAGTTTAAGATATCAAAATTAATAATACGAATGGTCACAGAGAATAACTCACATCTAGGTAAGGGGCTAGGGTTCCTAGTGTGCAACCCTCAAGCTTCTTGACTAGCCCCTTACATGGAAGTTTGTTTGGTCTATTTGAAGATATTATTGTCTGTATAACCATAGAAAATTACTTAATATTTGTATCAAACAGTCACCAGAGAGACAGGAGACTGAAAAGGGAGAACTTTTGGTTTTGACTTTCTATGTATGAATATATAATACATATGCATCCATATAAGGTCCTTGGGTGGCCAAGACTCCCAGGTAGTCTTGGAAGCCCTAATTATAAAATTAGTAAGAAATTCCTCACAGGAGAGTAAATTACCCTAATTTTAGTGCTAAAACTATTTAATCAGATCGCTTGATTTTTTCATACCAAAAAGAGATATAGAAAACAAGGCATAATATTGTATGGGTACAATATTGTAGGAAAAGATATTTTTCTTACTGGTTCCAGGATTAATTTGCAACCTGACCACTCTGCTCAGCACACAGACAACACTTCCTAAGAGTAAGCACATAGCCATTCCTACCCCACTGGATAAACGTTCACATAAGTGAATGTTCTATCAAAAACAAAAAACAACTGCATATGTTAACAAGATAAGTTATAATTCACTTTCTGCCTTTAAGCTGATATAAATTACTAATTAACCACATTATTATTTTGACTTTAGCTCCACATAGTTCACTGGAATTCTGCCAAGTACTCCAGCTTTGCTGAAGCTGCCTCCAAGGCTGATGGTTTAGCAATTGTTGGTGCTTTGATGAAGGTGAGTTACAGAGCTGTTTTTTGCTAACCTTCTTATCAATCAGATCTCAAAATAGGATGATATAACACAAAAAGATATTTCAGTTTTTCTTTTTGCAAAGTTCCCATGCTACTTTGTTGCTTTGTTTTTTCCTTGCTTCACTGGCTGAAGAGAGAAATCAGTTTCAGATAGGGATAAAATGGGGGCGTTTAAGGGAAAAAAAAATCCTAGTTCAGCTCTTCTAAATCCTTTCTATCTCATGATTCAGGGATCTTTCAATTTAGTATCTCATCAGGGAAGAAATATTAAGAGGATAGTTTTCCATTAAAGAAGGTTCCTTTGATTTTTAAAAAGGTAGATGGTGCTCAAATGTCTATAGGAAAGCCCCTGAAGTTATTATTAACTCAGATCTATTTTGACAATTAAAGGACTTTTAGAAGTCTACCAAAACAAAAACAAAAACAAAAACACTGCCATTGCATAGTTTCTGACATGTAGCCACCTCCATTGGGTTTCCAAATGGAAGTAGATTGCCCCATCTTCCTTCTTCAGAGTGGCTGTTGGGTTTGAACCACAAACCTGGTTAGCAGTCAAATGCTTTAGTCACTGCTCCACCAGATCTCCTTTTTAGAAGTAAAGTGACTTTATTTAACCTTTATTGAGCACTTATCATAAGCTATGTTTTTCTTGTTAGATGCTATCAAGTCGATTTCAACACATAGGGACCCATTGTGACAGAGTAGAACTGCCCCAAAGAGTTTCCTAGGCTGTCATCTTTACAGAAATAGATCTCTAGGTCTTTCTGCCATGGAGCCACTGGATGTGCTCAAACTACTAATCTTTAGGTAAGCAGCTGAGCACTTAACCATTGTGCTGCTAGGGCTCCTTATTATATGCTATTCCCTGGTGTAATTATATCTAACATAACAGACTGAAAGTAATATGCTTGTTTTTTTTTGTATCTACCTATATATATTGCTCTTTAACTATATATTTGTTGTGAACAAATTATAGAGTATAAGGGCTTACAAAGACACATACCTTAATTATTTATCAAAATTGTGCAGAATTCCATCTCCTAAAGCAGAGAGGAGATATCTTACCTCCCTTCAGTATTGGTTTAATTTTTTTTTATGTAAAAATTTAGCTAAACAGTATTTGATTTACAATGATCTTAATCTCATTCTTTGTTTTTTTCATCTCCAGGTTGGTCAGCCCAATCCAACACTGCAGAAAGTACTCAGTGCCCTAAATGCAGTTAAAACTAAGGTAAATTGATTAATAAGTTAGTTTAAATCAGATAATAAGAATCCACAGTACTTCAGGAACCATTTAAGTATGTATTTGAAGAGGAGAGTTGGAAGGCTGAAAGTAAGAGATACCAATCTGAAAACCAAGGCACTACTTAGATATTGGTTACTTCTGAAAAACGATTATATATATATATATATATATATATATATAGCCAAGACTCCCAGGTAGTCTTAGAACCCCTTATTATAAAATTAGTAAGAAATTACTCACATGAGAGTAAATTACCCCAATTTTTGTGCTAAAACTATTTAATCAGATCTTTTGATCATTTCATACCAAAGAAAGAAGTAGAAAACAAGGCATAATATTGTATGGGTACAATATTGTAGGAAAAGTTATTTTACTTACTGGTGTGTGTGTGTGTGTGTGTGTGTATATATATATATATACATATGTATATATATATATGTAAGAAGTGTATGTGTGTGTGTGTATATATATATATAGAGAGAGAGAGAGAACAACCATTTGTGTGTGTATACACACACACACACACACTCATATGGTTGCTCATCAATTTCATCATGGTGAAGTCTACAGACCATGTTACTGAGACATTTATGTTTGCTTTAAACATTGTATACAACTAAAATTTGAATTTGCTTCATTTTCTTGAAGAAAGACTTCTGTATTTCTCTAGCACTACAAAAATGTAGGAGTTCAGGGTATGCTTTTTGAGATACTATTAATATGTAAAGCTTAATAAACATGATTCCCATCTGTCAACTCAAAAAAAAGCAGATTGATTTTCTGATCTATCCAACCTTAGCTATACTGTTTTAAAAGTAAATAATTAAATCATAAGTCAGAGATTTGTCATTTTATTTCACAATGTGAAGGACAGTCACATTCTTACATAAAAAATCTGACTTGTGTTGATTCTAGAAAAAAAAATTAAACTTTAAATGGCTATATTATGAAGTGAAAAAGACTTCAGATAATCACTCCACTCATAAATACCAAGAAGAGCAAGAAATGAAAGAAAGTCGGAAGAAAAAATTGATGAAAATAAACTAAAAAATTAGTAAAATAAAAATTATGAATAAGTACAAGGCAAACATTTACTACTAAAATGAAAAAGTGATTCTTTGGAATAATCAACAAAAGAGGAAAAGGCACACATACAAAAAAATTGTTAGAAATAAGAAATGGGGCATAACTCAAGATGTGGAAGAATGTTTTGAAAGAGAAAACTATACATAACATTATACTAATGTATTTGAAACTTCAGATAAAATGGATTATTTTATAGGAAAACATGAAATAAGAAAATTGACTCAGAAAGAGATAGAAAACTAAATAGGTTGAGAACCTAAAAAGAAATGTAAAAGATATATATATATATTTTTTTTTTCAATTAACTACTAAAAAAGGACTCTAGGCCCAGACCATTTTATGGAAAAGTTTTACCCAACTTTAAGAAACAAGCATACCGGGGTTAAGCAATCACACTTCCCATTTTAGGGAACAGACATTAAACCTCCCAACAACTCAGTGAAACTTAACATAAAACCTGGTAGAAAACCACAGAAAGGACACCGTAGGCCACTTTTTCTTAGGGATGTAGTGGGAAGAAATCTTAAAATCATTTATAGTAAATCAAATTCAAAACTGTATTAAAATAACAGTGCTTTTAAATAGGCAGCATTTATCTCAGGAATGCAAAAATGGTTCAATATTAGAAAATTTCTTAATACAAATTATTATAGTAACCAATTAAAGATGAAAAATTATATCAACTTCTTTGATGTTTAAAAAGCATTTGATAAAATTCAATGCCCATTCTATGTAAATTTCTTGAACTTGGTAATGAGTATTTCCTAGAAACACTTAAATCAAACATCAAACTTAATAGTGAAATATTTGAAGCCTTTCCATTTCAATCAGAAAAAAGACCAGGATGTCAAATGTGACCACCACACCTGAAGATTCCGATCAATGGGAATAAAGTCAAAAATAAGAGAATGTACGAGACTAAGTATAGGCAAAACAGAGACAAAACTATCCTTATGAGCAGATGATATAGTCCTTAACATATAAGAAAATTCAAAACAATAACTTAAAGACAGAACTAATATAAAAGTCTGGTAAAGGTGACTGTAGAAAAGATTGACGTAAAAGCATCAGTTCATTTACTAAATATTGATAATAATCAGAAAAAATTAATGGGAAAAATTCTATAAGGCCAAAATGTAACAAATAGGTATGTTAATAGATACCTTTGACATCAGAACAGTACCTGACATAATTTCCAGAGATGCAATGAATGTGGAAATGAAATCTCTTTTTAAAGAATATACATTTTAAATTCTGCTTTATCCTGTGCTTATCTTTAGCCAAATGAAGGAGGAAGATCGCTTACTTAAAAGCAGTGTAGTACAAATTCAATCTTTTTTCTTCTATTGTTTTACCACTTGTACCCACAAACACACCAATCATTAAATACTATTAATAGAAAATTCAATTAAATATTAGCTAAAATCTCAAATTACATATGTAACACTTACATTTGTATTATATATATATTTATATTATTCTTACATATATGACTTAAATATTTTACATCACGATATAATGATACATTAATCTCCTTTTCTTCCAGGGAAAACAAGCCCCGTTCACAAACTTTGACCCTGCCACTCTGCTTCCTTCATCTCTGGATTATTGGACCTACTCTGGCTCTCTGACTCATCCCCCTCTTCATGAGAGTGTAACTTGGATCATCTGTAAGGAGACCATTAGTGCCAGCTCAGAACAGGTAGAGTATCAATGGTGATTGCGTGGGAATTAGAAGTAGAAAGTAGAAATTTAATTTCAATTAATATTATTAATTAGTGAGATAATTATTTCAACTATGCTTTTAAGGAGTTCATTTCTGGCATAAACTTATTGAACTACCAAAAAAGGTGCTGTTCTTTGATTTTATGCGGAACTCCCACTATCCATTGTTGCTACCTACTTTTATTGTTGTTGTTGTTGTTAGGTGCTGTTGAGTCAGCCCTGACTCATAGGGACCCCTTCTTGGGTTTCCAAGGCGATATCACTACAGAAGTAGATTGCCCAACCTTCCTTCCGAGGAGTGGCTGGTGGGTTTGAATCGCCAGCCTTCTGGTTAGCAGTCAAGTGCCTTAGGCACTACACTACCACAGCTCTTGCTACTTTTATTAGGTGCTATGTTTTATCAGCCAACTCTCAGAACAGACCAACAGGATAGGTATTGTTGCCTTTTAATAAACCAAACCCACTGCCATCAAATCAATTTGGACTCATAGCAACCCTGTAGGACAAAGTAAAACTGCCCCAAAGGGTTTCCAAGTTTGCAAATCTTTATGAAAGCAGACCGCTTCATGTTTCTCCCACAGAGCAGTTAGTGGATTTGAACAACCAGCCTTTTGGTTAGCAGCCAAATGCAATAGCTAACATTAATTGAGCACACAGTATGTGCCAGGCAGTATCCTAACTACTTTATATAATAATAATCCGTTTAATCTTCACAATAACTTAAGGAAGTAGGTACTTTGTGGAAACTGAGGCACCAAACTGGTAAATCACTTGCCCAAAGCTATCTATTTGGCAAGTGAGAAAACTGATATCCAGCCCATAATAGATAAATTTAAGCCCCATATAGTTCAGAGATAACACTTCAATTTTCAACTTAGTTTTCTAAATGGCATGAATTATACTGGAAATAAAGTGCTTTGTGTAATTTTAAAAGCTTTTGATTCTTTAAATATTTCATCCTTCCTTCCAGCTTGCCCAGTTCCGCAGCCTTTTATCAAACGCTGAAGGTGAAAATGCTGTCCCCATACAGCACAACAACCGACCGCCCCAGCCTCTGAAGGGCAGAACAGTGAGAGCTTCTTTCTAATGGCCCAGAAGGAGCATACCCTCCAGGAATACGGCCCTGCTTCTGACATAATCCAGTAAAATAATAATGTTTAAAAAACCAGATTTATTTCAATACTAGCAAGACATATAGCTGCAATTTTAATTTGTAGAAATAAAATACTTAGAATTAGCTTTTAATACTTAAATTATAATCTATAAGCTTGCAAAACTTGTGCTAAAATTCAAGTTTATCACGGAATTCTTTATAACTGCAATTAAGATGTACTGAATAATTTCTTAGTGATTTGTATCTCTTCCTATTTTATTCGGATTAGTTCAACCAATAAAATAATTTTATTCCCTTGTGCTCATGTATCATACACTTTATTTTTATTTTAAAAAGACAATGTTTCTATTTCATTTACACTCAAAAATCTTAAATGCCCTACTTGCAATGTTCTCTTGCTTCAAATGTAATAAGCAAAGAGAAGCTTGAAGTAAAATAGAGAAATTCTTTTTTTACTCTTGAAGACAAATACACGGCTACAACGACAACTACATTTAATGCTATTACAGTGGTCCAACATAACCACCATTTTGCTTCTGTGATAGAAAGCATATTTTATATAGATAGGGTAATGATGTTTTTGGTTATTGCTTATACTTTTCCTCTCTTCCTTAGTAAGACCCACTTTTTTCCCATAATTATAACTATTTATCTTACATGGAAAATCTTCACTTCAAAATTAGAAGAAAATCCATCAGTGAATAATTTGAAAAAGTACTGAAAGAGAATTACTGGTGGGGTAGAGACTGGTGAAACTCCCAAGACCATGGTCCCTACTTACCCTTTAGGCCTGGATTTCGACTCACTTTGTGGCTAACTTCCAGCCAAAAACTAGACAGGCCTATAAGCTGGACAATTACACCAAGGAGATGCACTCCTTAGAGCAATCAACCATGGGAGATCAGAGGAAGAAAGCTAGGGAGGCGGGAATGCATAAGCAGGAAATACACAGGAAAAGGGTGACCACAGGGGGGAAGTGGGAGAGAGCTGTTACATTGTGGGGATTGTAATCAGTATCACGAAACAAAATGTGTATGAACTATTGAATGTAAAATTAGTGTGCTTTGTAAAATTTCACCCAAATCACAACAAAAATTGATAAACAAAAAATTGCTGAAAGAATCATTTGGACTTAGAACCATAGCTTAGAAATATGTAATCTTTTAGTCAGATGCACACTTAACTGGAAGCTCATTCTATCAGAAGCTATATCTACATCAGAATTCTACAAATCCTATGTCCAGGGTTGAGTTATGTGATTTATGTTAAGTCATTCCTCTGGGAAATCATATTAAAAAGCCTACATCCATTCCAACATCTTAATCTTGTCTAATGTCACAGATTCAGTTAAATCCTCTAAATAAGTATAAACATAGTTGCTTTGGTTACCTACTGCCACTCTAACAGAAGATACCACAAATGGGATGGCTTTAACATACAGGCATTTATTCTTACAATTTTTGGAGGCTAGAAGTCCAAGTTCAAAGTGCCAGGCTCTAAGGGCTGTGTGAAAGTCCCTCAACCTTGGGCTTCAGTTCTGCCTCTTGCTCCCAGCCCACTGAAGCTAGAGGCATCTCTTCACTCAGGCAGCTGCTGGCTGCTGAGGCTAACAAGCCCAAGGTCAACAAATGAAATGGTACAGTCCCAATGTCACCAAACAACACGGCAGACCATTGATTCAAGCCCATTGAAAGTTCCAAGATCAGCAGAGCATGGCAGGCTGCTGAACAACACCTCGGCCACATGCAGGGTTCAAACAAGCCATCAGCTAGAGATCATTCCCAAAGCTGCTTCTTGTATACGGGAAAGAGACCACATCCTTAAAGCAGCGACTCAGTGGCTTGTGCTAGATCCCACCATGGAGTTGATTGCCGCCAGTCTCTTCAAGGGCAATAACTACCACCAGCTCTCCAGCCACTCAACCAGGCCCAGCCAAGTTGACACACAACCTTAACTACCACAACAGTTAAAAGTAAAACTAAGCATATTTGTATCAAGGTAATATTTATTTTATACCTAAAAACCATACAAAAAGATTCCTTTTGAAATATTTTATTTGGGGACCTTACATTTTAATAAGGTAGATTCACTTAAACTCTGAGTCCCAAATTTAAGTGAATCTTCCTTATTAAAATGCAATGGCAATGTAATTAATATCATTAAATTGTATACCTGAAAAAAGTTGAATTGGCAAATGTTGTAATACATATATTATTACAATTTTAAATACTGTAATGGACCCAAATAACACCTTATTTCTGCTCTCATAAGCATTCTATAATATAAAATATTTTCCTGGCAAAAGTAATATGGCTCTATAAATTACTATACATTTGCCAAACATTGAGAAAGCTGGGAACACTTATGCCTGCTCTATGATCTTATTTCACGTGAGGAATATTGATCTTAATTCTGAGACCCAAAGAAAGAGGACGATTTGTTTAATTTGAGAAAGTAATCTATAAAAGGTATTCAGGAGGTACCATATTCTAAAATATTCTCTGAAAAGAGGTTAAGCAATTAAAAAAAAAAAAGAGACAACTTTTAGGTAAGAACCTAAAAAATACTTGATCCATATTTTTAAATAAGAATAAAGTATATTCAGGATTTATAGATAAGTCTGCAAGTGTTGGGCAAAGAACAAAGAAGAGACAGAAGATATGTGGTGGTCATCAAACTTCATCCCTAAGTCAAATGCCAACTGGAGAACATATTTCCCCTCACTGGGTCTGCCAGTATTTCATATATTTGGCAAACTCATGAGGTGCTTTATGGGGCTTTCACATTTCTCGGAAGTAGCCAATAAAAACAGCTGTTGAGAGAAGATACGTGGACTAGGCATTGGGTCATCTGAGAATGCCACTCATATGTTTCTTTGTCTCACTCTCCCGCTGTGTGCCCTCTTCCCTTGCCATCTTAGGTAGTGGATTTGAACATCCTGCAAGGATTCTCTGGCTTTTCCATGATGTTGGCAGCTGACCTTCTTTATGCCAGATTATTGGGCTTCTAGGCATTCAAAATGGCAATGCCAGCTGATGGTGCCCAGCATAAGCTAAAAGCCTGCTTCTTTTCCCTGCTCTTTTCTATCTTATGCCCCTCAGAAATACCAGGCTGACAATTTATGGCTATTTTTGCTAATTTGTGACTTCAGGTAACTCAGTATATTTTCTGAATTGTTCATTTCTGTAAATTTTAGTAAAATAACTCTAAAATTTTGAATTCCTCAAAGTGAAAATCAGATGAGAGAGAAGAAGAAAAAATAACTTCCTTAAATTCAGTTTCCTTACATAACTCAAAACAAAACATTCCTAATAATTCTTATAACTCTCTCTATTCAATTCTGTGGTTCTTTAGCATATGCGGTCACAGATTCCCATGAGCGCATGATTAAAGCTGTGGAACTCACTCCTCCCCCAAAAATGTACATAATCAGGTGCAACTATTAGTCTCTCCCCGTTTGAAGCAAAAATAGAGTGAATAAAATCAAAGACACATGACAACAATTACTCCAAAGGACTAATGGATCATGTGAACCTTAACATCCATGACCAAGACTAAAACTAGATGGTGCCTGGCTACTACTGCGGACTGCTCAGAAAGGGATCACAATGGAGGTTCTGGATAGAGTGGAAGAAAAATGTGGAACAAAATTCAAAATCATAAAAAAGTCCAGGCTTACTGGTATAATAGAACACGATTGAATCCCAAGACTATAGGCCTTAGACACCCTTCAAACTTGGAACCAAACTCACCCCACAGTTCAACTTTCAGCCAAACAATATACATGCCTATAAAGTGAACAATAACACCAGGGAAGTATGCATTTCTTAGAACAATCAAGCACACGAGATCAAAAGGGCTGCATGTGCCCAGGGACAAAGCTCAGAAGGCAGGAAGGAATAGGAAAGAGAATAAATGAGAATGGTAAACACAAGGAGGAAACCAGAAAAGTGCTGTTACATTGTGGGAATTGCAATCAATACCAAAAATCAAAATGTATATGACTTGTTGAATGGAAAACCAATTTGCTTTGTAAACTTTCACCCAAATCACACACACACATACACAAAGTTTAAAAAAAAAAATTTAAAATTTTGGTGTTGAATTTTAGCATGTTTAGGACTTATCCTCTTTCCTTCCTTCTCCATCACAGTCAGTCCTGGCTCTCAGGTTAAGATCCCTGCTCTAGACCGTGAAGAATTGTGACAAGGCCTCCCAGGTTTCTCTTGAGATTGCTTCCTAATTTAACATGTATTCTTGTTTCTCCACCTCATTCTTTATTGAAAATTCTCTATAGGTTGAATGACACTATATTTCTGGCATTTTTCATGAAATATCTTTTGGACATTTGTTTGTTTCTTTTCACAATATCATTTTTTATTGATAAGATATGATTTTGTAAAGAATTTAAAACTGACAAAAAAGAAAGAGAATCCAGATCTCAGTGAAATGATTCCTATATTGAGGAATAAGTTAGCAAATGGGTCATAAAGGAGTCTAAAAGAGAACAAAAGGAAATAGTGAGTTGAGGAAGATATCATCAGATTAGCAATGGGCTAAAATCACTTTGAAAACTATCAATATTTTCTGTATCTAAGACCATGAAGGGAGCTCTGGTAGCATAGTGGCTAAGGCACTTGACTGCTAACCAGAAGGCTGGCGGTTCAAACCCACCAGCCACTCCTCGGAAAGAAGATGGGGCAATCTACTTCCATAGTGATACTGCCTCGTCAACCCAAGGAGGGGTCGCTATGAGTCAGATCCGACTAGATGGCACATAACAACAACAACAACAAGAAGACCATGAAAACATAAGGAAATACTTATTTTATGAGCATTCTCTTCATGATCATGTATAAACACTGAATGTTTGTCTACCCACTGTGTGTATCTACACATTGGTAGTTACTGTGCTATGAGCTCCTTATCATTTTTATTAGATGTGGCTATTTTCAATCTTAATAGGTGGACAAAGACAGAAAGACAGACAGGCACAGATATTAATGAATAAATAATAGAATTTCTTCCAGAACTGATACACTTGAACAAAGTAGAACCATAGTGTTATGGATT